TATAAATATTAACATATACATTTATATCCAATTTTTTCGTTAATTTTATGTATATCAATATGTACATTTTTGTCTTATGTACTTATAAACTTTAGAAAATAATCATAATTAACATACGCCATGTGGTTCTCGATTGTCAGGAACGATAGTGGTAGTGGTAGTGCGTTCCGCACTTGCTTCATTATTTGTTTCTTTATTAGTGTTTGTTGAAGTCTCGTCTGATGGAGCAATGGTTTCCTCAAACCATAATCCCAAAATAGGTTCGCTGTCCTCCTCTGCCGACATAATAGTTTGTTCTATGCGTATACCAGTATATTAATAAAATTATCAATATATAAATATGAAAATAAGCACTTTAAGCACTGCATCCAAATATATACATTGCGTACAATTATACGTCTATACAAATTATTTTAAAATTAATTTTTATACATCAGTCGTATCATATACTATTATTCACAAAAAATTCATATAATTTTTACACGCTATAAAATAAACTTGTAAAATATTATAAGTAGCATTTAAATATTCCTGCTAGCAGCAATAAAATTAAAATTGCAAAAGAAAAGATTATCTTAATTTGTGATATATGCATACATCCTAAATATATCTCTCAGCTAGCTAATTTACTATTAAATAATAAAACTAATGCATGAACATAGACAAATATATTAATTGAATATGTGAAGTTACCTTCATCAGTGGAATTCTCTGAACAACTCAAAAGATCTTCATAATATGTAGTAGAATCCGATTGACTCAATGCATCTCCTTCTAAAGGATGTTTTTGTACTCTTTTCAATGTACATGCCTATGATAATGAATAAAATTTACACAAATGATAAAATATCATATCATCAATATGATTAATGCAAGCGCATAAAATAATTCAATACCTTTCTGTAACTAATAGTAGCCAAATAAAATAGCAAATGATTCAATGGCACTGCTTGTAGGAACGTTACTGCTCTTTGTAATGCTGTAGCGGTAGATAAAATATCCAGCGGCGCTGGTTCAGGAACTGCCACAACTGCATCGGAATTAGCTTCGATAGATACATCTTCCAGAAGTGCGCTCATTAGGTTCAATGCATGCGATGCTAATGCCACTGACAAAACACCAAATCCTTGTTGCCTAGTTATATAAAAGTATATTATTTAAATGGAATACCAAATGAAATACCAAAAAAAAGTTTCAGAAAAATATATAATTACACTCACACTTTCATAAGATTTACACGTCCACTTCCATCGCGAGCTTTGCTTGGTGATTTTCCCTTTTCTTCTTTCCCTTTATCTGCAGCGCTAAAACTGCTCACAGTCAATTGTGCTTGTAATCCAGCGACTAAAAGCCACACTCCAATAAGCAAGTGATTTTGTAGAATCTATTATAAAGAAAAAGACAATTATATAACTGTATAAAAAAAGTAAGATTAATATTACTCAGGTTAATAAACAAATTGAAATTAACATTATTAAAATTTTAAGATAATAAGTTATTATAAATATTTAAAATTGTAATATTAAAGATGGCAAAATATAATTTTTAGTTTTAATAACAAAGAGACAAAACTCATAAAAACTTACATGTCCTCCGGCACGCGTGCTATTTTTAATAACATTTGATACCTGGCCAAATATTTCTAAACTCTTCTCAACAACTGTAATTGCTAAAGTATCATACTCTTCATCAGTGGTTTTTGCATTCTGATTGGTTTGACTATTTGTTGTGGTATTTGTACTACACTTGGGTGATACTGCATTTGTTATACCAACTATACTTGACGCTGTAGCATTTGCAATTGAACAATATAGACAAGACATAGTTAATAATGACAACTTTTCCAGTTTTTGTGGTGTCAAAGGCTCAAGTATCGGGAGAGATATCACATTATGTACAATATTAATGTCACTGACAACAGAATGCAAGCTATGCCTTATTGTATGTGCTTCTGAAGTATTCGCCGGCAAGCTAAATCCTTTTTTAGACAAATAAGTTTGATATTTTCTGGTATAACGCGACAAATGTGGAAGATTTAAACACATATCCAACAAAGTGTCACCCGCTCCCATATTCTGTAATGTGCTTATATTGTTTGCAATAAACATCATCTGCAATATAATTGTTTTATATTATTTTATTCTATAATCTTATTCAGTTATAAAAAAACATTTATATTTGTTGATACAAACCTTAGTGTCAGAATGCGTCTCATTTGTGGTGACATTAGTATTTTTATTCATATTATCCATGGAACTTTCATTATTAAGAATCAAAGATGACGAAAAATCTTGCAGTGGCATTGTTAACTGTTCGAGAATACTAGTAGACAAGTCGCAACGAGTTCGCATAGACTCTTTCACAGATTGCTGAGGGGACTCTTTTTCTTTTCCACTTGACAAAACTGTCACATAAGATGGTACTTTGGAATTTTTTATTACAGAAACAAGAGCAATTTCCTCTGCAGATGTAAGTAAAGATTGTCCTGTGCATAATGCACGTATTGGGAGTAGCAACTGCTTGGTAGTCAAAACCGTTGGTGCAGTATCTCCAGGTTGTGTTTGTTGTTGTGGCAACTTGTCCACAAGATAAGTAAGTAATACTTTGCATGCTTGACAAATGATAGATATTTGACTTTTGGTAACTGAAAAGGATCTTTTGTAAGACTTACTTGGTACTGGATTTGGCATATATATAATACTTATATATAAAACTATAGATACAAAAAATTTTATGCTTCAAATTATATTTTGCTATTCCTAAATTGTCTTAAAAGTATAGAAGCGTAATTACTTCTATATATGTAAAGAAAAAGAATAAAACACTCTTATGTCCATTTCTACTAATAGAATAACTTCAATCTCGTTAATTTAATCTTCTATTTCTAAGCATTAGAAAAAAATAAAGAGAAAATTAAAATTAAAATATCGAGAAATTAAAATTAGTCTGCATTAGTAGAAATATAGATATGATATCTTTAATAAACTTCAAATAAAAAACTCACGTAAAGTATTTACACTCAAAGTACTTTATTTAAAGTACTTAAGAATGTTGGATCTAAATTATCTAAATATTTTACTGAAAATATGGAAAATATTTTATTAAATCGCTTATAAATATTCTGGAGTATTTTCCCTTTCTTCTTACTTTTTCCTTCTAACGCACAATTTAAAAATAGCAGAACAAATTCGTAGCATTTCGAAGTTTCGATATATATATATATACACTGAAGTAAAATGTTTTTTTTTTTTTTCCCCTTTCGTAGTCATCCGCACGCGGATGCGCGAAGTTACTTACACGTATTTGCGCAACCGCTAATACAATCCGCCGACAAGGCAGCGACCGCCGTGTAAAAAGTATCATATTGATCTTCGTGAGAGACAAATTTGTTTTCGCTGTAAGACAAGAGGAAAAAGGACGGATTGTTACTGCTGAATAGAATAAAATATCAAATGATCTCAACCCGCGATGACAGACGGACTTCCATTACCGTTCCGCCAAGGAGGAACGTGTTTTCCTTTTGCGATGAAAGGAGTCTGATTTAACGCGGCTGTCGGACCGCAACAAGTTGCACCTACCTTTTAACGATGCTCTTTACGAGATCGATAACGTCATTTTTATTAAACGAGCGCGGTGATGATCCTAAAATCGGTTTCATCACCGAGGGCCACTCATCGTGACCACCACTCTTCGCCGCCATTTTTGATACTGATGCTTCGTTAGGTTTTCATTCTCATCCTCTTTACATCGGTCATAACAGCGACTTTCGATTGGCGCTTTCCGATGTAGCCGGCAAAGGAAATATTGGTCTAGTCTCTGTCAATCGGACGTAAGTTCTAAAAGTCTATCCAGTCAAATGTCTTGTATAATTGATAATCATATTCATACAGCACACTTTACCTGAAGAACATCTTGAGAACGTCCTTAAGCCTTGTGTCCACGATGCTAGAAATCGGTTCAAGATCTCGGATGGAAAGAGAATTGACCAATCACATTGGCTAATTTGGCCGAATTATTCAAACGCAATTGGTCAATTTTCTTTCCATCCGAGATCGCGGATCTATTATAGGATGTTCTTTGAACATCTTTAGAATATCTTTTGGAAATCTGTATTGTGTAGGATATGCACAAAGAAAATTACCCAATCATATTTCGTAAGGATGCGAGTAAAATTGATGCGATTGAATAATTTTTTTTTATGCATATGGTTATGCAGCTTTGCAAATTTGTCTGGATAGGTCCTAACAATTGTTTTAATTAAACTTTCTTTTTAGCTAAAGCTATTACAATTTCACGTGACCAGAAAACGATTTGA